CCAGCTTTCAAGGAATATTGTCAAGGCAGATATATCCCTAAAAAATCCCCACCACACACATCACACCCCCAACCTGAACCCTTCAAAAAAGTAAGAGAGGGAGAGGAAAGGAAAAAGCTGTGTCAGGATGGAGGACACAGCATGAAGGGTGCAAGCACAGGCACATCAACAGCTCCTGGGAAAGAGGAGGGGGCTGAAACACAGCCCGGACATGCTGCTTAGCAGCTGGGATTTAACACTTATTGCAGTAAGAGAAATTAGTAACAGAAATCAGCACAGAGAAAGATGGGGGTGCCAGGCTGCACCAAGGGAGAGCAGCAAAAGTGGTCTTCAGGGAAGTGTTGGTTGGGTTTGTTATATTTTTCTTTATATTTTTTGTGAATAGATCTTCATACTCCTGATCACAGTCCCAGGAGTGTTTACCCTTCCTTAGGTCTTCTTTTTCCATCTTGGTGCATGAACACCCTGGAAACATGAATAGCAAGTGAATTTTTATTATTTTCTCTGCTGGGGCTCCTAGGGATTTGAAAGAAAATGCCATTGTTAATGGCAACAGCTAGCTTTATCAGCTGTAATTCCTACCACTGATCCAAACAGAATATTATAAATGGAAGGAGTAAAATGAAATCCACATCCCACAAACATTTGCCTCACTAAACAAGCTGGTGCTGCTCAGGCATCTCCCCCTGCATGGCTCCTTCAGCACAAGACCACCCCAGTGACCCATTCTCCCCTGGGGAGAGGAGAGGGGGCAACATGTGACAGTGGGTATGAGATCTCAGGAGCCACACTCACCATTTTTGCAGGACAACCCCATCCCCACGCTCCTGTTGCAGATCCTCTGCAAACACCAGGCTCTGCAGGGAGAGTGAGTGGACTGGAGGAGCCTTCCCTGCCATCCCACCTGGGCGCACATTCATTAATTCCCTGACCTGAGAGCAGCAGTGGTGCAATATTTCTCCCTACTCTTATCTCAAACCACAAGCCTTTATTTCTACTTTCTCTCCCCTGTCCAGCTGAGGAGGGGAGCCATGGAGCAGCTTTAGTAGGCACCTGGCATCCAGCCAGGACCAACCCACCACAGATGTGCAGCACACAGAGGCTCCTCTCTAAAATTTAACTGGTGCCAGCAGCAGCTCATGTTCCTGTTGCAGGTGGCAGAGCTCCCTACATCAGGATGAGCAGTGAACACCTCCATCCCACATCTGAAATTGTGTGAGAAAAATGAAACATTACCTCAGCTACCACCCATCTGAGCAGATACTCATGAAGTGAAGGCTCCTGAGATTTTCTCCCGTACCTGTGCACTTCAGTCACACTTCAGGTTGTGACTGCAGAGGATCACACAGTCCTCTGCTTCCAAGATTCCTTCCTGCAAGGAATGCGAACCACTTTGTGGCTTTCCCACACAGATGAAGGGAGGAAAGCCAAGACACCAAGTAACCACAGGCTCTCAGAAAAGAATTCAGGATGAAAAATGATGGCTTTTCCTCTCAGAAAGTGTGACCTTAAATTGGGAAGAATCTAGAACCTCACTGTACACTGCAACCCCTCACTCTATGGAGGGCTGCTGGATCAGGACTGCACCTACGCATTAGAACTCTTGCTAAAGCATGTCAGTCAATGAAGAGATTCAGCAGGAGCCTAGTTAGGCTGGTGGACAAAAGGGAGGAGGCAGGGAAAAACTGTGACAAATTGAAAATTCATTGTGAATTGCGTAACTGCATGAATAATTCCTTTCACGCCAAAAGAGATTCCTGCAAAAGAGGTAGCTTGAAGTAGGTCCCTCAGCTCCATTTAATGAAAGAGCTCCCAGACAGATGGCTGGTTTGGGTATTTGGTGGGGTTTTTTTTGTGGAGTTTTTTGGTTTGTTTTAACAAAAAAATTAAGTTAAAAAAAAGACACCCAAAACCAAACTCAATTGCAAGATGCAGCTGATCTTCTATCAGCAGAGAAGAGCTGGTGGAACCAACCAAACAGGTGACACCGATAGGTTTCCCCACCCTGGCAGGACAAGAATTTGCTCAAAATGCAAAGATTCTCATTCACTTTTGCCAGAGACAATTTTTCACTTGTGAAAACAATAGAAGAGATGCTCATCAGGAGGAGGAAGCAAGATATGAAAAGTATTTTCTCTAAGCTGCTGATGATGCCTCAGGTTTTACTTTTTATGTTTTTCAGATCCTGTGCTGCTTTAGTGTGTAGTTCCAAGCTTCATGTTAGGGGATGGTAAGCTCTCTTCACAGAGTAGGGAGACAAAACAATTCCTTCTCTAGCTGGGGACCAAGGACAAATGACCCAAATCTCAGGCCCAAGAGCATAAACAACAACAGAATGAAGTGAGAAAAACAAGAAGGGTGGGACTTCATAACCTAAAGCTATAATTGGACAATGAACTGCAATATGCAAATGGACCAGAACTTATAAAAGTGTGAGACCTCATGACTGTTCATACATTTTTGTGACTATTTTGGGTTCATCTTGGGTGCAGCCCTGGCTGGGCTCTTGTGCTGCCCAAGGTGTATCCATTGAGGCCTTTTAATAAATACCTACTTTATTCTATAACTCTGTCTAGCCTCTGTTGTAGGTCAGCCTTCACAAGGCATCGCTGAGACTTATGAAAGCATCAGGAAAGAGGAATTGGTGAAAAAAAGAAAGGGACTGGAAAAAAAGTCCCAACAGTAAGATATACTTAAGTTACTGAGTGTCATGCCCAGAAGCAGGGAAACCCCATATCTAAAACTGCAGGATTCAAATCTGGAACCATCCAGCTCAGGAAGGGTCCTATCCCCTGCATCTCCCAACTGCCATGAAAGGGTTAGGCTTTTTCCATTTGCCAAATAGAATTCTGAAATCATCTCTTCTGGCCTTCTTGCAACAAGCAATAGGACAAGAGGAAATACCCTTAAGCTGTAGCAGGGGAGTTTTAGATTGGATATCAGGGAAACTTTCTTCATAGAAAGGATTACCAAACATTGGAATGGACTGCCCAGGGAAGTGGCGGTGTCACCACTAATGGTATTTAAAATATATGGCACTTAGGGACATGGTTTAATGGAGAACTTGGCAGTTCTGGGTTTATAGTTTAAATCAATGGCCTTTTCCAACCTAAATGATTCCATGATTTTGATGCATAAAGTGCATTATTTCCCAAAGACAGGCATCTCAGAAGCAGTATTGCCAAAGAGTGCATCTTGGCCCTTAAGAACCCACACAGATGCCCTGATGTCTCATGTTCCAGTTGAACCCATGCTGCAGCCTTCCTCGCCAAATGGACACTAACAGGGCTTTTCTTCCTCTATCTGGTAATTTATTTTTACCAAACTTTGAAGATGAAAATCACTGGTCAGACCTCTGCTTCACCCCAGAAGCAGGGAGTTGGTCAATGGATCCAAAAACTAGTGGGAAAGAGAAAACCTTTACAGAAAGCCGACTAAAATCCATTCGGTCCTGTGGGATCTTCAGGAGCCAAGCCCACTGACTTTGGAGCTCCCTCCTTGAATTCCACATATTTTATACTATTTGCCTAAAACCAGATCCCCAACTCTCTGCCAAGCCCTCTTAATCCATCAGCTTTGAGGCCAGGACTGCAGCCCACTCCACAAGTTCCTCTTTTCTTCTGCACAGCCCCAGCTTCTCCTCCCCTTCCCTGAACACCACTCCCACAACTGCTTATTACCCATTTTTCTCCTTCACCTCAGTTCCCCTCTTCCCTCATGAACATCATGAGCTCTAACTCCCTACCTAGCCAATCTCAGGTCCCATTTTTTTCAGGAGAGCCTGTGCATCTACCGTGGGCTCCAGGACCCGGCAAGAAGACCAGAGAAAATGACAGGGTGGCAGGCTGGGTAGTTTGTAGGCTGCTGCTTATTGGGAGGGTGGGAGAGTACTGATTCCTTTTTCCCTGTTTGGAGATAGGGATGTGTGAAAGGGGTTCAGGATTGCCTCCTTCTCCTGTCCCTTCATTGGCATAAGCACTTTGGCAGCTTAGTGCTTCACACCCACTCAGGATGGCTCTGAGCACCCACATTCCTAACCAGGAGATGTTGCTCCACATCTCACCCCAGCCCACTCCAGAAAGTGCTGGTGTGGCAGAGCCAAGCCTTTGCATCCTCCTGTCCAGCTGGGCTGGGGCGTGAGCAGTGAATCCCACGGCTGGCCCCCAGCTGGGGAGCAGCTGTGCTGCACAAGTGCTGACTCAGGCGTGAGCAACACCAGCACAAGGGCATCGCCTGCCCTTGGCATCCAGGGCCAGACAGCCGGCAGCCTCAGCCCAGAACACGCTCTGCCCTGGTGAATCACACACCAACCCCGGCAAGTCCTTTCAAGACCCATCAGTCACCAGAGGGGAAAAAAAATTACATGCACACAAAGTAATTAGAGGTGTAACCCTCTCCCCTCCCTCTGTGCAGGCTTAATGCTCCCTTTGTCCAGGCATGTTTGCCTTGCTAAGTCATGCTTCAGGACAACTTTCTTGACAGAAAACAAAGGTTAATTAATATTAAGAAAAAAAAGAAGAAAGAAACAAAAAAACACACAGAAGCCCCTCATTAAAATGGCCACCCTCTCAGCACAGCTCTCTGCTCACTCTGGTCCTTCTTGGAAACAGAGCACTGACCCATGGCAATGACCCCTGCAAAAAAGCCAAACTGCACACAATCAATTCAGGACCCTGTCCAGTGATGGAGGGGTGGGAAACCAGCCAGCAGAGCAGATCAGAGACACAGCAATGTTCAAACCTGACGGCTGTAATCCACCTCACTCACAGAAATCCCAGCCCCACTGACCATTTGCCTCCAGCTAATTCAAAACCTTCTTCTGGCAGCTCGGTGGCAACACATCCTGTGACCTGCTGTAGCTCTGCTACCCCCTGCACCAGCAGCTCTGAGGAGTACATTACAGAGGAAGGGATACCAACTCCACAGATACAGAGACTCTGCTCCCATCCCTCCTCATCTAAGCAGCTGAAACCACATCAAAGTCACTTACAATTTATCACCTGCATTATCAAATGCTTCACCTCCATGGTGGAAGTCCCTCATTACAGCACACACATGAGAAAAGCAGGTAGAAATCTGCTTCAAACCTGCACTCTCCAAGTATAAAAATATCTCTTCCACATACTCCTCCAGTTCACCTCGGACACACATAAGCACTTCTGATCCAGTTGGCTCAAGAGAGGTGGTGAAAGCACACATGCACACGCATGCTCACCAGCCAGCTCATTAAATCTAATTAGACAGTCTTCCACAGGGAATTTTGAAATTCATATCCAGCAATTACTGTGTCCTGTTCTTTCCTCAACCCTCTGGATGTGTGAGCATGATTATTCACCACATGAAAAATAAAAATTAATATGAAACTTCAGAAAGTTGCCATATGTGCACATTATCAGAGGTGCACTGTAATTTAATCAGTGTTCCTGCTTAGAGATGAATATGGTGGCAGCAACACAGGGAAACAACACTCAAGGCTCAGCTTTGGATCCAAATGTCTCCAAGAAACTGACAATATGGAATCATAAGTTTTCCCCAGTAACTTTATAAAAAATTTGTGCTGCTGACACTCTGGTGTGTAAGATGTGAAGCCACACATGCACAAGACTACCAACAATCATGAAGATAACTAAGCCAAAGTGCAAAGGGACTGATTGTTGTTGGACTCAAGGAAAATGTAACAGTCATTTCTGTGTGTGTCCAGAATAGGAAAATTGTAGTTTGGGAATAGGAAAATTTGTAGTCCTTCCCTCCAAAACGTGCACAGCACCAACCTCACCAGCAGCAACAGCTGCAGCCTGACCATGCTCAAGGAGCAGCCTGACTTGGTGCCACAGAGCCATCAGCCTAGGGAGCCCAGGGAGCCAGCACAGCCCTTCTGCCATGGTGCAACGGGACCATCCCATGCAGCCCCATCGAGGCACACAGTCATTTCAGTGCACACACGGGGTACAAGTGGCTGTGTGTCTGTCTGGGCATGCAAACTGCTAATTTCATGTCAGCGACTAAAGACAGAACACAGAAGCGACAGCACAAAAGCCACCAAAACTCTGTTCAACAAAGAAACTGCCGTAATCTTTTTCAGATATACTTTGGGTCAAATCCAGCTGCAGCAAGGATTATGGAAAGGGTCCTACTGGCCTTCTGGGAGCTGCATATGATCTTCATGTAGATGCACTTGCACAGGGCACAGCTAGTTCAGTGCAAGGTTGGCACTGTTCAGTGAGTTTGCAAGCTCAGCTAGTGAACCCAAAGGGTTTGCAATTTCCATAAAGCAAGTTATTTCACCCTTGCTCTTTCATGTCTTAAAGACACACAGGCAGGAAAAAAAAAACAACAAACCAACAAACAAAAATCCAAGCATAACACTAGCAAAAAACAATACACAATAAAACCCTCCAACCTTAAAGCAGAAAAAATTACAGAATACAGTATTATGGATACAACCACAATTTAGATGGATGAATGATGAATATTCATAACATCTGCCTTTGTTTTTCTTTCTGATTGAGTATCTAACTTAGATTCCTACTGTTGACAGAATTACAAATCCTAAAACCTACAGGATGACAAGTATCCACCTAGGGTTAGTGCACAAAGCTACCCTGACCAAGCTGCTTAGATTTAATGATTATTCTAATAGTAGAATTTTGTCAGAGAAACTACAGTTTCAATTTTAAAAAAACATGAGAAATTAACTGTGAACACACAGCACACAAAGTTAGGGAATAGCTGTCAAAACAAGAAAAAAATAAAAACCACAAAAAAAACCACACCCAAAACATTTTCACCAGTAAGATCCTTCAGAAGATCAAGATTCCAGCAAATTCATACAGCCAGTAAGTGACAGAAGGAAACTGTACTAAAAAAAAAATAGTTTTCCATAAATTTTGTGACTTTACATCAGATGACTTTTTGTTGCTTACAATCAGGAACGGCAGTGATATACTTCCAATTGTTTTCTATTTTGATCTGAAAATTTGGAATTATAGTAAAGACTTTTAATAAAAGGAGAACCTGTAAAAATTAAGACGCAATGCAACTAAATGCTTAGCTGTATTACAAAACTGGCTTTGCTCCATAAAAGTGTTGTTTCAGCAAGAAAAATAAAAGATAATAAGACATTTATTCTGGCTACTGAAAAATACAGATGTTAGTCCTAGATCATATCCTGTTACAAACAAAAGCTAAGGGAGGGGAAAAAAACTTTTCAAAACTATTGGAGTCAGAACAGCTTTTTCACAGAGACAGAGAGAAGCAACTTGAATATAAATAAGTGTCCAAAATAGGTCAGCACTCTTTTCTTGGCCACTGAAGTCTGATACTTTTCACTTGAGGTTATCCTGGCCGGTGGTGGCACACACTCTGCAGGGACAGAGGCCAGGCACAGCCCCGGGCTCGCCGTGCCCAGCACTGCCCAGCAGTGAGCAGTGCCCAGACACCACCAGAGCCCACACGCTCTGTGGCAGTACCTGCATTCCCCAGGTGGAGTTGTTTCCACCCTGCCCTCACTCCCCTCCAGGAGTGAGGAAATGCTCTGTGTGCACAGTTTTGACTCCATCAAGCAAGAGGTGTGATAAGAGACAGGGTGTTTTCCACAGCCCCTATGGAGACCCACCAGCTCCACGCATTCAGCCCTGAGCATCCCAGGCACTGCCTGGCAGGAAGCTGCTCGCTGGGCCAGGAGAGGATTGGGCCATGCACCACCCAGCTATCATGTGTGGGCAAAGCCACTGGCTTCCCACCAAAGGTTACAGCCCCTTAAACCAATGCAGAAAGCAATTTTAGACCCAAAAATCAGGCCATGAGGTGCAGAGCCTGCACCTCAGCTGCTCTGACAGTGCTTCCATGGGGAAGCTGGTAGGAGCATCAGGCTGCAGAAGAGCCACAGGTTCTCTCTCCCTCTTTAAGGGAAAAAAATGAACAAGTTATTTCTACAGCACTGAGAGGCAAGCCTGCCAGTCCAGCCTCGGCAGCATTCCTGTCTAGCTCGGCTTGTTTACCACCAATAAAAAGCCCATTAGTTGCACAATGCGCCTGTTTAAAATAACTCAAAAAAAATCATCACTGGCAAATTAGTAAGACATTAGGACATGCAGACACCTCAGCATGCTGTTATGGAAACCACAGAGGAGTCAGACTTCCCTCAGGAGCTTTTCCCAAGGAAGACAATTCCTCAGATTTCTCTCCCTTTGAGTGGGCCCATCTAACTCTGAAGGGCTCAGGACCAAAATGCAGCAGTCACCCACTCAACTGAACCAGGATTTCCAATCAAGCCACTTCCAGAGAAAGTAAATTTACCAGGCTCAAATGCTGCTGGTTTGCACTAATGAGAGCACAAGGTCCTCCCTCACACAAGGGCAGCCATCAGAGAAGGCTGCAATGGCCTGTGGCATCCCTATAACTTCACACCCCTGACCAGGGTCTAAACCAGCAGCAACAGCTGCTGACTCAGCACACTCCCCTCCCCAGCCATCAAGAACCCTGTTTGAAAAGCATTGCTCATGTAAAGGCTGAATGTCTTTTTCAGATAATGCATTCAATCGTCCAGATTTGTATGAATGAAAATGGGATCACACAAACAGGTGAATAAGCACTGAGCTAAAACCTGGGTGAAAGTACAATCTCTGCATATAAGTGACAAAGACATCCATCACCACAGAGGTTCCCCACTATGTCCATCACCTATGTGACAAACAATTCTGCTGCAGAGCCCCCACTCCCCATCTCCAGACTAGAGGACAACAGCTCACTGACTTACACCCAGGAGAAGAGCTCCCCTCAGCTCAGGAAGGAGAAACTAACAACCAAATCCCCTCACACCTAACATATAAATTCAATTGGGACTTGATGAACAAAACAGAGGAGTTAAGAACTAAAACTAAATTAGTACCCAGTGTTTTGGCTGAGTTCATAAGGATGCTCAGTGATTAACTGTGATCACCTCCATCTGGAAATGGATGGGAGCCACTCCCCTCCCAGTCTCTGTTTCTGAATTATGATTTTAAAGCTGCACTCAGGAACAGTTTTCCTACTGCCAATGAGCCCCTTCCACAATGGCTAAACCAGTAATGCCAGCAAGGTTACAGTAAGAAAGAGCTTAACTTATTGAGGTTCCTGCCAGATACATTTTTTAACAAATAACAAAGGAGGATGCTTAAAATCCAACACCACCATGGCCAGTGACCCACTCTGCTCTTCCCTACTGCATCTAATGCATCCAGAACAGTTTTGGGGGAGAGAGCAGGAGAGGTGACTCCACTGCAGCAGATCTCACACCAGCTAAGAGCACCACAATTGTCTGTGCCCTGGTGCTGCCAGGCAGCATGCCAGCACTAACAGCGTGCAGGTGCTCTCACTGCTTGGACAGCATCACATGCACATCCTTGGGGTGGATCCGGGCCATGCCCTGCCAGCTGAGCCACACTCAACATCTCTGGTGCTCATGGCCATGGAAACTGAGCTTCAGCTTGCCCTTGTTAGGCTGGTTCGGGGTGCAGGGCCAGCACAGGGGAGGTGGGTGAGGGTGCAATCCCCAAGAGTCTGCAATAAAGGAGATCTGTGTGGCTGTCGAGTGTGAGGTCTCCTGGGAACAGCCCTTTTACTGGGCTCCAGATGCTGTGGAGTGATTGCTTATATGAAGGCGGGGGAGGCCTCTTTACTGTTTCTCATTTCCTCTTTTTTTTTTGCTTCCCCCCCCCCATTTCCTGGTTTTGTTCAGAAGCACAAGAGAGTCATTCATCATTTTTCTTCCAGCACAAGGAGCGCTCTCACCTCCCCCTCACCCCTAAATCCCTCCCCACCAGGAAAGGGCACGCGTTCTCCAGCCAAAAAGGCTCGCAGCAGGGAAGGCAAAGCTCCCCAGCTCCTGCAAGCAGCTCCAGCACAAAGGGCCACATTCTCAGCTGGGTTTGGTGGGTGCCAGCCCCCAAAGGGGGAAGGCCAGAACTCAGCAGCAGCAGAAATGCTAAGTCAGAGAACGGATATCAGCAGAGGAGGAGAGCGGTTTGCACTGGCTGGAATTATGATGCAAAGCAGAAAGGAATTACATGCTGAGACAA